GGGATTCCTTGCTTAATCAACTAAATAATAGTGCATGATTTACACTGATTTAACTTATGCATTTAAAGTTGGTCTAATTTTCATATATATAACTCATAATGCATTTAATTTATGCGTGGGGACACAAGTTCATTAAACAAAAAATTATGTAAATATATGATATGTAAAAATATGAACTTGAAATAAAAGGATATTTGAAATATTATTGAATCGTATTTGAATATGTACATAGGGGTCTCTATTTATAGAGACTTCTTGACCTAATTTTGACCTAATGGGCTTGGCCCAATATACAAGTAACGGACTAAATAAATACAAATAAATGACTACATAATTACTAATAAATGACTACATAATTACTATTTACAACACTCCCCCTCAAGCTGAGGAATAGATATTTATCATTCCCAGCTTGCTAGCAAGTTCTTGAAATCTATCTGAAGGAAGCCCCTTTGTCAATAGATCAGCTAATTGACGCCCAGTGGGAATGTATGGAGTGGTAATCAACCCGCTATCAAGTTTCTCTTTGATGAAATGGCGGTCGACCTCAATATGTTTAGTCCGATCATGTTGAACTAGATTATGAGCTATACAAATAGCGGACTTATTATCACATAGCAGCTTCATAGGTCCCTCACATTTTATTTTTAGATCATCAAGTACAATTTTCAGCCACAGTAACTCACAAATGCCTTGAGCCATAGCTCGAAATTCAGCTTCTGCACTTGATCTGGCGACCACATCTTGTTTCTTACTTCTCCATGTCACCAAGTTACCACAAAGAAACATGCAATAACCAGTGGTAGAACGACGGTCAGTCACGGATCCAGCATAATCAGCATCTGTGTAGACTTCTAAAGATAGATTGCCATCACGTCGGAATAACAACCCTTTACCAGGAGTACCTTTCAGATACTGAAGAATTCTCTCTACTGCCTGCATATGTTTCTCCTTTGGATCGTGCATAAACTGACTGACAACACTAACAACATAAGCTAAGTCTGGTCTAGTATGGGCCAAATATATCAATTTCCCAACTAGCCGTTGATATTGTCCTTTATCAACTGGAGGACTCTCCTCTTCATAGCCCATCTTGTGATTCTGCTCAATAGGAGTATTAGAGGGTTTACACCCGAGCTTTCCTGCTTCTTTGAGAAGATCAAGAACATATTTCCTCTGGCTGATAAAGATTCCTTTGCTCGAATGAGCTACTTCTATCCCTAGGAAATATCTCAGTTTCCCAAGGTCTTTGACTTCAAACTCAGAGGCAAGCCGTGTTTGCAGAATCTGTCTCTCCACAAAATCATCACCTGTGATAATAATATCATCAACATATACAAGGAGCACATTAAGCTTCCCATTTTGGGAGTGCTTGAAAAAAAGAGTGTGATCTCCTTGACTTTGTTTATATCCTAAGGTCATCATAACCTTAGTAAACTTTCCAAACCAGGCACGAGGTGACTGCTTCAATCCACACAAGGCCTTTTTTAATTTACAAACTTTATTTTCTCCCTTCACAGAATCAAAACCAGGCGGAATTTCCATGTAGACTTCTTCTTCTAACTCACCATTGAGGAAATCATTCTTCACATCAAATTGGTTTATATCCCAATTGTAATGGGCAGCAAGGGATAACAAAACTCTCACCGTATTCATCTTTGCAACTAGAGCAAATGTTTCTTCATAATCAATGCCATAGGTTTGAGAGTAACCTTTGGCAACTAATCGAGCTTTGTATCTCTCAAAAGTTCCATCAGAATTATATTTCAGGGCATAAACCCATCTGCACCCTACTGCTTTCTTTCCAGTAGGTCTATCAATAACCTCCCATGTTTTATTTTTCTCCAATGCATTCATCTCCTCTTGCATGGCTTGAGCCCAATTCCTATCTTTCAAGGCTTCATGTACTGATTTTGGGATTGCAATAGAGTCTAGTGCTGAAACAAAGCTTTTGTGCTGCACAGAAAGATTAGCAGAGGAAACAAACTGGGAGATAGGGTATTGAGTACAAGAGGGACAAGATTTCTTGGGACAAGCTCTTTTTCCTTTTCTAAGAGCAATGGGTAAATCATCAGAATCAGTAGTAATGGGTAAGTCATCAGAAGTATTAACATCATGATCAGAAATATGAGATTCAGGACTTACCAGTGGTTCAGACGATTGAGGTTGCTGCTGAGACAATGTGGGTTGTTTCCTTCTTTCAGGTGTCATAATCTTTCGTATCTCTGGTGTACTTGATGTATCAATCACAGGAGAATCAGTCACAGGAGGATCAGACACAGGAGGAACAGACAAAGGAGAAACAGACACAGGAGGAACAGGACCAGGTGGAGGATACACTGACATAGGTAAAGGAGTAGACACTGATGATTCAAACTCAAAGAAGGGAGGTGATGAGATTTCTGGTGAAGGATTCTCCCCCTGAAGATGAGGACCTTAAAAAAAGGACTCAGATTCCTGAAATGTAGCATCCATAGAAACAAAAAATTTCCTACTACTAGGGTGATAGCACTTGTAGCCCTTCTTATCAGGAACATAACCAAGAAAAACACATTTAATAGCCCTAGGGTCTAACTTACTGCGATGATGTTTATGAATATGAACAAAAGCAACACACCCAAACACTCGTGGAGGAAGACTCATCATAGTTGGAATAGAAGGGAAAAAAGAAGTCATAGAGTGAATAGGACTTACATGGTCAAGTACCCGAGTGGGTAAACGGTTGATCAAGAATGCTGCAGTAAGAATAGCATCTCCCCAATAGTATTTGGGTACATGTGTCTGAAACATTAATGCACGAGCCACTTCAAGAAGGTGACGATTTTTTCTTTCAGCAACCCCATTCTGTTGGGGGGTGTCAACACAAGTAAGTTCATGAATCATACCGTTATTTCTTATAAATTGGGAAAAGCTATGATTAACATATTCAGTACCATTATCTGTTCTTAGTCTCTTGAGTTTTTTACCAAACTGGGTCTCAATCATTTTATAAAATTGAAAGAACAGTTGTGGTACCTCAGACTTTTCACGCATTAAGTACACCCAAGTTACACGAGTGCAATCATCAATAAAAGAAACAAACCATCTATTTCCAGAACCATGAGGGACTTTAGAGGGACCCCAAACATCAGAATGAATAAGATCAAAAGGTTCAACACTCTTAGTAATACTAGAAGGAAAAGACACACGATGATGCTTAGCAAATTCACAAACATCACAATGAAAAGACTCAACAGATTTAGACAAAAACAATGACGGAAATAAAGATTTGAGTAAACTAAATGGAGGATGACCTAAACGCTTATGATGAAGCCAAATCAAAGAATCAGCAGTTGATTGACCATGAGACATCAAGATGTGATTTGTTACTTTATTTGCAGGAGATTGTGACACCAGATAGTACAGACCACCTTGCTCTTTAGCACTACCAATCGTCTTCCCCGTGGTGAGATCCTGAAAAACACAATGGGAAGGATAGAAGGTTACAGTACAATTCAAATCTTTTGTAATTTTATGAATAGAAAGAAAATTCGTGGAGAGTTTAGGAACATGAAGAACATCCTTAAGATGTAAGGACTGCTGTAAGTTTATGTCACCAGAACCCGCAACTGATGTATGAGAGCCATCAGCTACGGCTATTGTATGAATTCCAATGGTAGGATGATAAGAGGTAAAGGAGTCAGCACAACAAGCCATATGATCAGTAGCACCAGAATCAACAACCCAAGAATGTTTAAAATCATTACATGAAGAAAGGAAAGAATAAGTTTTGAAGCTCATACCAGTCATAGTCAAAGCACTAGTATCAGATGGCTTACTCATAGAATCAAGAATGGTTCGGAGCCGTTCCAACTCATCTGGACGAAATGCAGGTTGGGTCTTATTAGGTGTAGGAGTTATTTCAGAGGAAGTAAAATGCGCTTGACCACGCAACTTTGCCATCTTTTCTAAGACAGATTGCTTTCCATAAAGGCGAAAGCATAAATGCTTGATATGACCTGTTCTTTTACAATAAGAACACCATCGATCATCTCTCTTAGGTCTAGAAGAGGTACCATCATAAAATTTTGAAAAAGAACTCCTTTGAGAAGAGGCCATACTGCACATAAAATGGTCAAAGAAAAGCTCCAAGAAGCCAAAAAATCACAAATAAATACCAAATGATGTCCGATCAAAGAGAGGAGCACAGATCCAGAAAGAGGATGAAGGGACGATCAAGATCGCGGTGGTCCGATCCGGAAAAATGGTCTCACGCGCCGCCACGCGCCGGTGAGATTGGCTGCGCGTGGGCTTCACTCTCGGTTGAAGGGGCGGCGCGTGTGGGCGCTTGCGGTGGCCGTCCGGTCTGAAATTTCTGGAGCAACGTCGGCCGGTGAGCGCGGTTCTTTCTGGGTCTGTTCGGAGTTGAAAAATCACCGGGAAAGGGTCCAATCGTGATGAACAGATGCTGTCTTGAGACGATGAACAGTAACAGAGATCCAGTATAACAGAGATCTTCTCGGTCCAAGAGGTCCCCGGAAAAAATCCGGTGGCAGCTGATGGCAGCGAGAGACAAAAAGAATAAAATGTTCTTGTTCTAAAGACAATAGGCGCGGAAGCAGAGCCCTCAGGATCGAGAGCTCTGATACCAACTTGAAATAAAAGGGTATTTGAAATATTATTGAATCGTATTTGAATCTGTACATAGGGGTCTCTATTTATAGAGACTTTTTGACCTAATTTTGACCTAATGGGCTTGGCTCAATATACAAGTAACGGACTAAATAAATACAAATAAATGACTACATAATTACTAATAAATGACTACATAATTACTATTTACAATATATGAGAATGAGTTTCTATAAAATGTACGGTTAGTTTTTTCTGATAATGAAGTTTCCGAAAAGGCCAAATGCGCTTTGACAAAGACTCAGTCTCTTCCCTACTTTTTGATTCCTTTATCCCTCTAAAGGTTTGTTAACATTCATACAACCTTAGAGAGGTTTACAAAGCCTCTTTCTCTCTCTCCACCAATTAGAAAAGATTATAGACCAAGAATTTCGGACATTGCATCAAATTTTGTTAGTCTTCAAGGCAATCCTAAAGTTATGGAAGCGCATCAACACCAAAAGAACAGAGAAAACTATGTGGAAAAGCAAATTGAAGAAGGAGTAGTAGCACAGTTAAGGCAAGAAAATAAAGAAGACCAAGCAACAAAACAATCATCATCATCATCACCACCACCAACATCCCCATCTTCACAACCTTCAGCGTCCTCCTCTCCTTCTCATGAATTCTCCTTCACGATCTCTCTCAACTCTTCCTCCACCACATTCCCTCCTAAATCCAAAGCTCCACCTTCACTTGCAGTTGATTTATCTCCTGCTGATGACATCTTCTTCCATGGTCACTTGCTTCCTCTCCATTTCTTATCACACTTCCCTGCATCACCTCGCTCTTCCACCAACTCCATGGACAGCTTCACCCTCCCCATTAGAGAGTTATTAGAAGATGAAAATCGTAGCAGCAGCAGCAGCAATAGCAATAGGAACAACGTCACCATAGACTGCAATAAAAGCAGCAAAAGAGAAGGCAACAACAACAATACTAGAGGAACAAACGTAGAAGCTAAGTCCAAGTCCAAGTCCAAGTCAACTTTTTGGTTATTTGGGTTTACAAAAGGGCGCAAAGGGTGTCATAAAGTTAGAGATAAGGAAGATAAAGAGAAGCACAAGAAGAAGCTCAGTTTTGAAGTGATCCATGCAATAAAAAAGTACTTAAGAATGGTCCAGCCTCTAATGCTTTTCAGAGGAAAAAGAGAGAAAATTCGATTCCGTGGACAGGGTTATTCTTACTCAGGGAATGTAACTCCGAGAAATAAGAAAGAATTGAAGGGTTGGAGAGGAGAATATTCAGCACCAGCATCAATGATAACATCTCCAACAAACAGTGGTCTTTTACTTTCAACCACTGTTCTTCCTCCTGCTAGTGATAGCACCGTGCAAGAGTTGCAGGCAGCCATTCAAGGTGCAATTGCTCACTGCAAAAATTCTATTGCAAAAGAAGAGAACCTCAAATGCTGATTGGTGGATAGGAGGGGATTTTATTTTATTTTATTTTATTTTATTTTTTTCTATCATTGATTTCCTCTGTGGTATAATAAGTAATTAAAATTGTGTAGATAAAAATGTATTACTATAATGGGATGAAAAAAGAAGCACAACTTGAAATAATATATTAAAGAAGATTAATAATTTGTGTCATAGATCTAGACCAACTTGTATTATAGTATCTCATGAATTTCGGGAATCATCAGCTAGCTGCTGGTTTTCCACTTGGTAGTTAAAGAATTGCTATCAATGAATACATTTGTTATTTTGTTTTTGCTATTCGATCGTACGGGAAACTATTTGTTATTTTAAAAAAAAAAAATATAAAATAAAAATCGTACTGATTCTGTATGTGGGATTTTGACATGAATAAGCACATATGTAGCAGCAGCCAGAGACGCTTCAGATTTTTTTCCTCTTTGACATTGTCCTTGCAGATCCTCAATGACCTGAGTGTTTGTGTGGCTATGTTATTTAAGGCTGGATGTGTCTAAACTCATGTAAAATATTTTAAGCATGGCTTGATTTATATTAAAAATTTAAAAAGTTTCATATAAGTTTGTTAGTCTATTTAAATCTATCAAATTTTCAATATCTATTAATAATTAGAAAAAAATAAATGATATAATATTAATTTTTAATTAAAATTATTTAAATATGATGACTTATGAACTTATAGGCGAAGCCTTGTAAAAATATGTCTTTAACTTATTTTTTAAATAAGCTTTTTTTTTTTTTTTTGTAAACTTGGGTCTATTCACTGAATATATTTGTCCTGATATAACTTGATATTAATTGGGCCATAAGCTCCTAATAAGTCATCTGACTCATTAATTATTATTTTTCTTTGTTCTTGTTTGCATTTGTTTTTCCTTCGAATCATATCCATTACCAACCGAGACATATTTGGATCAGTTATACCTGATTAGGAATTAGGAAATTTGGCTTAAAAAAAATTGATAAAGAGAGATGTTATTTTTAAATTAATAAATTTTTTAACAAATCTGCAATAGTGTCTTAAACATCCTTTTGTTTATCAATTACAAATCATTTACCTGGAAAATAAGGAATATCATCATTACGTACGTGATTATAATTTTAAACATAACTAATTACAATGCCTATTATATGAAGATACAGACGATGTTGTAGCTGTTGAATTGCATTCTAAGTTTCTAAAAGAGTTCTCGAGAGATCTGGTCTCTCTAAAGAAAGCACAAATCATGTGCTTCTACATGGGCCAGCCTCATCTTTCTTTATCTATTGTTCATTAGGTTCTACCTCAAAGCAAAGGAGAAAATTACAAATATGGCATCCTTGTTTTTCCTTTGTTAGAGCTTGGACAAATGAAAGATGCTGAGGAAACTGCCAAAAGGGGGTTTGAAATAAATAAGCAAGACAATTGGTCACAGCATGCTTTGTGCCATGTTCTTCAGTGTGAGTGCCAATTTATAGAAGCTGTTAATTTCTTGGAAAGATGTTCATCATGATGGAGTTCTTGTTCTTCTTTTATGTCGACACACAATTGGTGGCATATAGCACTTTGTTACTTAGAAGGTAATGCTCCGAGGCAAAGAATGCTCAAGGTATATGACAATTATATATGGAAGGAGTTAGACAAAGCTGATGCTGTGAGTGCAGAAGTTTACTACATGTCATGGGTCTGCTTTTGTTTGATTGTGTGTACAAGGTGAACTAGATAACTTTGGTGATCATATCAAGTTACTTGCATAATGCCTTACCGATCAAGCAAACTGGTATATGGAGTAGTGGCTAGACACTGATTCAAGGATGGAGGAGTTAGATGCTTTACAATTTTTTTTTTTGAACACAAGATGGGTTAATTTGCTAAATTTACATGTTCAGATGCTCCAGATGGGAATGGCTAGTAGATTGGAAACTGTTTGTGGACAAGCTTATGGAGCTCAGCAATATCAAAGAATTGGAATGCAGGCATACACTGCTATATTCTCTCTTACTTTGGTTTGTCTTCCCATGTCTTTTCTTTGGATCAACATGGAAATTGGAATCAGAGCTGTGTTCTCTTATCTGTGCAGGTAACTCCTGAAGAGTAGATCCCAAGATGAACACGATGGAAAGTATCAAGGAAAGATTCTCCACATAAAGACCTCCTCTATTCAAGGAAAGTTCTACAATTACTAGAAAAACATGATGTAGATTTTCATCAAAGCTGACAACTACCAAATCTGGAACGTGTTTGAAAACAGAGACTTCCAGATCACAAAGAGAGATGAAAGACGGAAACATCAAACCCAAGCCCATAGCTGAATACACTAATGAATATTGGATAAAGCTAGAATTCAGTGCACAAGCCAAGAAAATTCTTTATTGTAGCCTTGGAACACAAGAGCATAACTGAGTAATGAGATGCAAAATTGTCAAGCAAATGTGGGATCTCCTAGAGGTAACTCATAAAGGAATCAACGAGGTAAAGTGTAACACCCCGTATGCATCCGGATTTGTTATCATATTACGGTATTAAACGCAGCTCAATAAAATGCGGAAGCTAACTTTTTCTTTTCAATTATGACGTCATTAATATTAACCAAGTTGATTACTTAATCCATTTTCAAAATACTGCCTGTATATAAATTGCAATAAAAGCTATTTACACTGAATAACTTCTTATATAGATGCGTATCTAAATCACGGATTTACAACACGTAGTCCGGACATTATCCTAATACATTATACGACTCAAATCTAAATCAACAAGTCTGAAAACAATGTGGCATGGACAACCCCTATGCTCACCAAATAACAATGTAATAATCTCTCAAAACAATCGTCATAAAATGTAAAGTAGGTATAATCATGAGATATAACTAGACACAGCACACATGCATCAATCAGCCCAACTAAGCTCCGGCCTCCTGCCGGCTGAGGTATCAACCCCCGAGGTACCTGAACCTGAAAATGTGCCCCAAACGTGGGGTGAGATCTCTAAAAAGAAATCTCAGTAAGACAAGGGGTCCTTAAGGATCTTTCCACCCCAAGCTCACTTACATGTGTAATATAAGTTCAAAAATAGTATAACAGTATAAGTTCAGAAATCAGTGCAATGCAGCATATAACCATGTCATGTGTGTCAAAATCCTAGTGGCCAAAGAACATGTAGGAATTACATATGTCTACAACCCACAGTAGTATAAGCCGCTGATTGTACCTGCCCACAGGATCACCATATTGTATGATGCTACATACTCAGGCTTACCGTCTAGGCGGAACACTACATACATATCATAAGGCATTTGCACTTAACAGCTCAAGGCATTTCAATAAATCATCATTTCATAAAGGCACATCATGCATATAAACTATCCCTCCATGAGATATGGTGGAACCAACAATGGGCAAAATCGAGGACACGAAAGCTTACCACGCAAGCTAACAATCCCAAGTCAAGAGTCCACAACCGCCCAAGGTCCACAAACAACACTCTCACGGTCTGTTTATACCAGCAATATAATTTATATTCATAGTCTAGAAGCTGATTGCATTAGGACAACGTTTCCTTTTTTGTTTAATGATCGTAGGCTTCTCTCAAAGCCATAAGCCTTCAATATTATTGGTTCTGACTTAATTAAATTATTCCAGAGGTTCATAATAATTAAGGGTACAAAAACCCAACCCACGCTTCTGTTTGGGTAAAATAGCTCAAAACATGATTTCCCCAGAATATCCCGATATTTCTCGGGGACATATCCGGATATCAATATCCGGATATTTCCAGACCCAATATCCAATATCCATATCCAGATATTCACAGACCCAATATCTGGATATCGATATCCAGATATTCACAGACCCAATATCCGGATATCCATATCCAGATATTTCCAAACTCAATATCCGGATATCCATATCCGGATATTTTCAGCCAAATATCTGAATATTTCGTGTCAGAATGCAGTTTTGCATTTTTGCGAAGATATCCATTCAATGTTCCATTTTTAACACTTCCAGACGTCCAAGCATGCATTTTTAGACACATTTAAGCAAGTGTTTATGCTGGTTACCTACTCATCTCATTTTACATGCTAAGACTCAACTTTTATCAAAGAAAACTCATGAACAAGGTTCAAGGACATACCCCAAAGCTCAAAACAAAAAAGAGGGGTGCTCTTGGAGCTCTCTAGGCAGCTCCACAAGTCTGACTTTACAAGGCTACGAAAATGGTGATCAAAGCTTGGTTCTTTGCACAAAAGATGACTTCTTGGCAATACAAATGCTAAGCAAAATGGTTCATTCACCACCCAAGCTCAGAGGCAGCAACCAAAACCCCCTCACACAGCAACCCCAACTCAGAAAGTGGCACCTTTAATCCTCACCAATCACACACCCAAGTGTTTGCTAATCTTTGGAGAAGGAATCAAGAAGAAAAGAGGAGTTTTGAATGAGTTTATGTAAGAACCCGCACCGTTAATTTAGGAATTTAATTAATTAATTACGAGATTAATGAGATAATTCTATAATTGACCCTAATAATTATGAGAATGCTTAAATAATTATGGCAAGTAATTAATAATGTGGAAAGTCACTTTTTCTGACGAAAAGTGCAGATACCGGTTCCGCCTCATAGTATAAATGCGTACCGATGAAGTATCCCAGAAAATTATAAAAAGTATGTATATGTCACTAGAATAATATATAGGACTAGCATAACAAGTTTCAGGTCAAAATAATGAGAACTGGTGTCAGAAATGATACTAGCTATGTAAAAGCGCGTACCGAAAAAGTACTGCAAAAAATAAAATAAAAATATAAAAATCTTAGAAAAATGGCTAGGTTCAGAATCCTAAGTTTGAGATTAAAATGCTAAGCGTATCTATTAGCGCTAATACAATGCGATTAAAACGTAAGTGGGCTACATAAGGCCTTGACACATGATCCTAGGTCATTTCTGGTGCCTTTCTTTGTGAGAGTGGCTGCTGTGTTTCTCTCCAAGCAGACCAACTTCCCTCTCCCTCTTTTTGAACCAAAGTGACTACCTTTCTTCACTTTTCCTTCACCAAAACACCATTGTTGGGTGTGGGAAAGACTTGAGTGGGTGAGAGACTCTTGCTTTCTGAGTTGTGAGAACTGCCTAGGGAGAGTTTTGGGCTGAGTTCATTGGTGGGGGTTGTGGGAACCATTTCCTTGAGT